GGTCTGGCTGGTGCTGGAGGAGAGGGGAAAATAAACAGCGGGCATCGGTCTGGGGGGCTGCGTGCTTGAAATCTTCAACCGGTTTCCTCTTGAGGTGCTGTGGATTTGGGGAGCGTTTTCACATCTTAGAGCTGCGTCCTGGGTGAGAGTTTCGCACCTCGGAGCTCACTGGCGATCCTGCCACCACATCAGCTGTGTTAAAAGTGTTCTTGACAAGAAAAGTGAAAGAAAAACTCAGTACAGAGTTGGCATTTCAGCTCTTAGTGGGGTTAACAAAACAAATTGTTTGGTTTTGCTCTGGAGCGGTGATGGAGATTTTGGTTTGCGATGACACCCTAAAACCTCATTCCTCTGCCCAATTTTGCTATTTGTAGTGTCATCCAGGAGAAAATTTGCTTTGTGTTTCCAAACCATGGGAAAAGCAGTCACGGTCATTTCTGGTGCTGGTACAGCACCTGCCACAAAGGTGCTTTTGCCAGGGTCTCCCAGGCACTGTAGGAGCATAAATAATACCATATATGTTAATAAGTCTTATATTGCCATCTGCCAGGTGAAACGGGCACCCCCGCGGCTCAGGGAGCACCCGGCTTTGCCAGCATGCTGGGGTGGGATATTTGCCCGCCTGAATTGGGCGTCGTGGGGCCCGGGCACGCCGCTGCTGGGGCCGGGGCTGTCTGGGATAGCGGCGTGAGCGAGCCTGTGCACGTCCCTGGGCCGGTGTGGGCTGCAAGTGCCTGTCCTCAGGGACCCATGCAGGGCTGGGAGATGGCGGGAGACAGCGTGCACCTGGGGAGCGGAGCTGCGGCTCAGCTCCTTCGTGTGCCGGAGCACCCGCCAGAGATTTCTGAGCCCCCCCCCAGTGCTGTGGGCGGTGTGTGAATTTGGCTTTCTTCTTGGCAGTGGGTGTGAAGAGACCGTGAATTCTCATCAGCACTTTCATTACCTTAATAAAATTACTTCAGGTCTGTTAAGTTCTTTTGCAGAAAAAGAAGACATAATTGCATGTTTCGTTAGCTTCTCTCTCCCCCAAGCACCAAAAGAGCTCAGCCCCTGGGTCTTGCTTCCATGGCTGTTTGTGAAATCCACATCGAGGGGCTACAGGATCTTCTCCAAGAGCCCGGACCAGGTGAGGAGCTGGTAAACTCTGCTTGGCACAGAGCTTCTGTCAGGGTGGCCCTTCTCCCTCTTTCATCCTCTTAGCTTTGACAGGTACTAAGAAGTTATTCAGAGCTATGGTCTTTTTGCACGTTATATTGTCAAAGCTTTTCTTCTGTAAGAGGCAAGTTCTTACCTAAACTCACCCGCTCTGCAGAAATAGGAGTGATAATAAGCCCAAAATGAGGAGATGAAGAACTGGCATTCGTTTTACCCCATGGCTGCCGTTCACCAAGGTCTTCCAGTGTTATCCACTGTGCCTTACGCTCTCCGTTACCCTCGCTCGTATGTCGGAGACTCTGTTCAAGTACTTTTAGCTTTGCACACACTTGGGAGTTGTCCCGTTCAGGCCGGGATGTCAGCGGCAGCGTGTAGACAAGCACAATCCAGATTTAGCACTGTCTGGGCTAATCAGAGTTTGTTTCAGTGTGTTTTTTGCTTTAAAATATATTTTTTTCCGCATAGCATCTCTGATGCGAAGTGATAAATTGGGGAAGGGCTTTCCTGTCACCAGCTGTGGCTTGGTCAGAGCGCAGAGATCCTGGTACCCTTTGGATGGCTCACTGACACAGGAGATAGAAGGACTGTAGAGATCAAGAGAAAATCGCCTGGAAGTAAGTTGATGTTAGATGCTACTGGATGGTCTTGGAGCAGATGGTTGGATTTATGGATTAATTAGATCTTAAATTCTTTGAAGATCCCTGCAATAGAGACGGAGGCCATCCCTACAGGGGGGGTTTGGGAACGGTCCATAATATAAATGGAGTGGTACCTCCTAGCTGGCAATATTGCTTCACTGGGGGTGTCTGCTAAGCTTCTTGTTTCAGTATCTGCTGTGTGCTGTCTTAGGAATACAGAACCTCCTGACAAGTGTCACTTCTTTTCCTGGGGTGGCTGTGATAATTGGTTCCACCTTAAGGTGGATCAAGGTGGATGCCGCACCCGCTAGTAACCAAAGTTGTTAGCAACATCGCTTTTGCCCTAACTCGAGGGAAAGGTTGCTGCCATAGAGATCCTTAGAGCCTTCCTTTGCTCTTCAGCCACTGCCTGCCTGATATTGTGCAAAGATTCTGGACTCTGGGCACATGGATTTTGCAGAGAACAAGAATGTAAGTACTCTGACAGAGCACATGCAGCATCTTGCTAACAAATATCTAAGCATGAAGGTCTGTAGCCCCTTCCCAGGTCGTGGAACCAGCGCTCTGCAAATGAAATCCTAATCGCAGGAGGAAAACGGCAGCTGAAAAACCCATCTACAATCTGTTCAAGCTCTGAAAAACTGGATATGCTGTGCTCTTCCACCAGCACTGCGGTGGGAGCATAGCACGGGGGAGAGGAGGGCTCTGCTGGCTGGCACCAGCTGTTAGAGCTGTTGTGTGTCCCTAGGTGCAGCTGCAGGATAAGAATGAGAGGCTGTACGGGCTCGGAGACCTACAGGAGAGGATGGGGAAGCTGGCTGGCTCCAAAACAGATTTGCCAGCCAGAATGGTCTTCAGTGAAGAGGAAAAACTGAAGGTAAAAACCAAATACTTTAGGAGTTGGAGAGAACTGAGCCATGAAGCCGTGTAAGGCCAGTAGATCTGCAGTGAAAAATCTGGTGGGAAATGTTGGGGCACCTTTCTAGGGGTGTGTGTGTTGTGCTCAAATTCTCTGGTGCAACCTGTTGAAACAGTATGTTGGCCTCAGAATCAGTCCTTGGCCTTTATAATGTCCTTTCTCTCCCCTAGATTTCCAAAGACCTCGTTGATCTCCAGATCGAGACAAACAAAATGAAGGAACAGTATGAGACGGAGAACTTTGAACTGAAAAATATGGTATCCAAAAGTTTGTAGTAGAGTCGATTCAGCTCTGCCAATACCTTTATCCAGAACTGCAGCTCATTATGCATCCATCTTTGTTTTGCTTGGTGTATTCTCCTGGCTTTAGCTAGAGCAATGAATCCCCCCCCGACACCCCAGATACCATGAAACGCGTGTGAAACTCATCTGTCTCTAAGTCATAGTGTGCCAGAACCTGTTTGGCCAAATAAATGCCCTGTGATTGCTGCTGGTCTGTGCCACAGTCTAATTCTGCTGCCTCCTCACTGCAGATCCTGGCCCTGGAGAACCGTGTGCTGGAGCTGGAGCTCTGCAGTGAGAAAGTCACCGGGGAGCGGGATGCCTTACGGGAACGTCTGCACGCTCTGGAGACCAGTCGGAAGGAGCTGGCGGATGAGTACATCATTTTGAAAAGCAATTACCTGGCCCTAGGCAAAGAACTGGAGCAGGAGGTGAGACAGGCTGCGGTGTTTGCTCTGGTGTTCTCGACTCCATCTCATAATTACCTGATCTACAGACAGCTTGGTTGGCTTTGGGTTGCGTATCCACGTCACAGCTCAGGTCTAGTAAGGTTTCCCAGCTGTGAGACAGCGTCGCTTGGGGATGGTTATTTTGCTTTCGAGTCCCAGGGGATTTCATGAAACCTGGGCACCTTCTAGCAGGGCTTGCAGAACCTGCTCTGCTCAGCAGGGACAGTGCTGAGCCCACGCTGACCCGTCTGCCGTGCTCTTCTGGGCACCCCGCTGTCAGAGTCTTTCTCTTTTCATGCCACCCCAGATCCCCGTCACTAGCAGTAACGAGGAGGTCACTGCGGGGCTGGTCTGAGTGCACGTTGCAGGTCCCTCTTGACTGCCAGCACGCTTTGTTTCCCTTTTTTCTGCATGGTTTGCGCAGGCTGCACGTGAACTGATTGTAGTCGCTCTCATTTCGTATGGCGGCGGGAAGGGGCCTGGAATTTTTTGAGGTCGGCGAGTTTATAGAAACACGGAATGTAAGCAAGTTTCTGATTGTTCCTTAAAATATAGAGAATTTCCTGGTGACTGTTAGCTTAGCGATTATTAACTAAAGTCTTTTGGACCCAGATTTCTTTGGCAAGAATAGCTATTTCAATAGACCTTCCTCTCTTCCCTCCCTCTCCCCCCTCCCACTTCTCCTTCTTTTTGAATTGGAGCAGATGACTGACACCCTCCTGCCTCCCTCCCCCGGCAGATAGTTTAGCTGGTTCAGCCAAATGACCTGGTTTACCGTGCTGGCCCTGTGCAGAGCTGTGATGGGAAGATGCAGGGCTGGGACCAGGCGTGCTGGTTTAGGCAGCGTCCAGTCTCTCTTTACAGTGAGCGTCCGTCTGCAGAGCTCCGGTAGAGGAGGATATGAGGTCGTGATCATCCTGTTGCAAATAAGCGAGTTAGTGACTCTTGTGAAGCTATCATTTGTCTCCCGTAAGCTGAAAAATGGAAATTTCTTATGAGGAGGCAAGCTCAGCTGCTTGCAGGGGTGTGAACTCACCCCATCGTCCTGCCGGAGCACGAGGCAGAGCGCGTGCAGCTGACTGTCAGCAAGGTAGCACGCTGCTGAGACGCAATACTGCCAGGCTGCGGAGGAATAGCTCGGCGTTCAGCAGTCTTGGTTGCTTCTTGTCCCCAAGGGGGTGCAATATGTTTGTCAAAAATTGGATTTTCAGGTGGCTGACATCTCTAAATGATGGGTTTAACAGGTTGGTGGTAATAACACACTGTTTTCACTTGGATCCTGGAATGTTTCAGAGAGTGAAAGCACATGGATTCAGTTATGTGCCCGGATAGCATCCTGAAGAATTGGTGGAGCAGGGTCCAGAAGCCAAAGGTGAACTCTTTGGTTGTAATTCATAGGCTGAGGATTTTACCCCAGTTGCTTGGCTCCGACTACCAAATACCCCTGCCCGAAGCAAAAGAGGCTCCAATTTGGCAGGTTGGGACTTGCCACTGCATGGGCCTCTTCTTGCTCATTATTTTCCCAGTGTGGACTTTCCCAAAGGAAATGGGAAAAGCAGCCTGCGGTTCTGCCCCCTCCCCTTCCCCGGCACTCTTCTGGGGAGACAATGAACCTTTTACACATTCCCAATTACAAGTGCTACTTGTGACCTTGCCAATATGTTGTCATGGCTGCTTGGCGCAGAAGCAGCTCGGCGAGCTCATTCACGGTCCCTTGTACGGGAACAGTTAGAGCCTCTGAATTGTCGCGGCCCCCATTGTACGGCTCGATTCACACATCGCCCTGTGTCTGTCCCAGGCGAAGGAGCGCGGCGGAGCTGGCCTTTCCTGTCCCTGGGGAAGTGCCTTCCAGAAGATGCCAGCCAGTCACTTTGTGCCTGTTTTCTAACTCGCTGTAAATTCTTCCCTTTCAAGACTCTGACCTTTTCTCGACTCTCCGTTTCCTCCTCCTCTTTTGTTCAGCGGGCTTATGCAGTCTGCATCGGTGGTACGAAGTGAGGCCATCGGAGGGAACCCAAATGGCTGCGAACCGGTTCGATACCGGGGTTTTCCCTGGAGCCTGGCCAGGGGAGGCAGCGAAGCCCACTGCAAACCTGGGACTGTCTCTTTCTTTCGCCAAGCTGGTACTTCTGTGCTTGTGTGACCCCCTCTGATCAAATTGTCAGGGCTGACAGCTGCAGATGGATCGTTTTCGGTTGGAGAACAAGCAGCCTGTCTCTGCGTAGCTGTCAGTTTTCACAGCTGTATATCTCACCTCTTTGTCAGCCTCTTTTCTCCTCTCCTCTCTCCCTCAGCCCACCCTGTGCTATCTTTTGATAAGCTATTCTCTCCACGGATGACTCAGATGACCTCTGCCTCCCATCCTCCCGATTCACTGCCATGGTAACAATTACTCAAGCTTGTCCCCAGTCATAAACCCCATCAAAGCTTTGTTATCTACATAGAAACCCTCCCGTGAGACATGAATTCCCCCAGTGTTCCTTCCAGATCACCTGTAACAGAGCCTTTCTCATTCAGATCCTCTTTATCTTTTGGAAATGTGTCACTTCACACCAGCACGGCTTTGAATCTTGCTGCCTACGCCGGTGCTGTGGGCTGGCTGCTGCTGGAGGGATGCATTCAAACAAAACTGGAATTAGCTGGGTGGCGTCAGCCTAGGTGGATGGAGATTTGGCCCTTCTTTTACATTACGGAGTCCAGCACTGTTCAAATCCGTTGCATGGGGAGAGACATGCCTGAAGTGTTGGGAGGCTGTGTGGAGGGTACAGGGTTAGAGTGAGGAGGGAGGCTGGAGGTCAGGACGGAGAGGTGGTGGCAGAGCTGTGCCCAGGGCTGGGCTGGCACCAGGTTCTGCATCTGAATGCCAGAGCGAGGTGGGCAGAGGGAGTAAGGTTACACGTGAATAATCCTGATGCTTGGCGATGACACTTACCCTGCATTTCCATGAGAATTAGAAAATCACTGATCTCTTTGGACATATGAGAGGGAACTAAAGATAAAACTTGCTTTCAGGAGGAGATGTGAGTGCCTGCCTTGTGTACACACCAAGAGCAGCGGGCATGTGCTGAACAGACAGCGTGCAGAGCCGGCGAGGCAGGATTTCGGAAGCTCTTTCCTTCTTGTTTGACCTGGCAGGTCGTGAAGAACGAAGAGCTCAGCCTAGAGCTGCTCAACCTGGCCAATGCCAAGAGCACCCTTCCCCGCAGAGAGGGCAACCACTACCACTCCCCCGCCACGGCCGATGGCAAGCAACGGTGCGCCGTCTCTCGGCTCGGAAGGTGAAGGTAAGGACCTCTCTGCCCTGTCGCCAGCTCCTTGGAGAACAGGGATCTAACAGGCACCTTCTTCTCTCTCTTACTAAAACCAGCCAGAAGATGTAGTTGCCTCTGAACATGAGCGGCAAAAGCTGGAGAGAAACGTGAGTGTGTGGGTCTGCTGCTGGATCCCTGGGGAAGCAGAGGGGGAATGTATTCCGACTGGCTGGCACCTCCTGGTGCTAACTTGAATTTTGTGGATGAGCTGATGCCTTGATTTATTTTAAATTTTTTTTTAAGCTTTGCAGTTGAAAAGTGAGACTATAATAACTCCAGCTCTTATGGAGGCAAAAGCTGAGAGAGGACAGCTGTGGTTCCCTCCGTCAGTGCCCCTGGGTGAACGGGGGCAGGAGTTTAGAAGTCAACAAGTGCAGAGGACACTTGCTTATTTTCTCCTTGCCATTACTTGAGAAAGATGGGGCTGATAAAGCACCCGAAACTGAAAGCACCGAGATGCTCCCTGCCTCCTTCCCATCTGCAGCCCGCGCAATACCAGCTTGGGCTCTGCCACCAGCTCCTGCTGGGAGTGTGACTCTCGGAGTGAGACTTTCCCTTGGAGGAACAACACCTGTGCACCTCCATGTGCCTGGGCTCTGCCACCAGCTCCTGCTGGGAGTCTGACTCTCGGAGTGAGACTTTCCCTTGGGGGAACAACACCTGTGCACCTCCATGTGCACCTCCATGTGCCTTCTCCAGAACACACACCTCTTTTGGGGTGCTACAGGGCACTGGTCACTCCCAGTTAAACCTGTCCTTTCCCCAGTGTGTCACTGGTCATCTGGACTTGTGCTCAGCTGGAGGATCTTCTCCTTTCTTCCCCGTTCACAAATCCCTTTGCTTAGCTCTGCCCTCTGTCTCATCTTCCTCTTCGTTTGTCCCTCAGTTGCTTGGAAACCAGGATCACATAAAAGTGGAGCTTGAAAAACTGAAGAAAACCTATGATTCGCAGCAGCAGAAGCTGGAAGAGAGAGTGTGAGTATTTGAGGACACGTCCTTCTGTTTGGCTGGGCATTTGTGGAGCTCGTTGCAGCTGAATTTGATCCTTGGGCGCAGGAGAGGAGGCAGCCTGCCTTTGGTGGGATACAGGGTGGGAAATGATGATTCACCCTTGGAACAAGTGATGCCTGGAAGCAAAACCTGATGTTTTCAAGGCTCTTAAGAGGGTCAGCTGTCTGCTTAAAAGTCAGTGGTGTTTAGGTACCCGACTGGCCTATGCACCTCTGTGACAGCCCGGAGATGAATCCAACCCTAGCCCTTACCCACACAGCGGTTCTTCCATCGACAGGCTGGGATGGGGTCGGTGTCACAGGAAAGGCTGGCACAGCAGGGATGCTGGAGAACTAGACCCTCTGACTGGGGAGGACGTTCACTTTTGGTTGTGAGAGCTCTGTGGCTGCTGGTTGGCATACATCTGGTGGGTGCTGGCAGCTGCTGCTGGGAGATTTCTGTCATCCTGTAGTGATTTCCTTCTCAAAGCTGGCTGTATTGGACCTACAGAGAAGTTTGGGGGGTTAAAATAAATACACCTTCTTCCTGTGTGCCCAGGATCACGATGGGGAAGGAGCTGCAGGAGGCGAAGGGAGCGATTGGGGACACCCAGCACAAGCTGGCGGAGCAGTCAGCGGTAAGGGCAGGCTCCCTTCCAGCCCCTGGCACCCGGGCTCCAGGACTGCGCCTGCTCATCCGCTCCTCCTGGGTGCCATGCACTTCTCCTGGAGCTAGCAGGGGGTGGATGTCTTGTACTGAGGTACTCCAACATGTCTCCCTCTCCAGGGAGTTTGTCATACCAAGGTGCTCCTCCCTGTGCAGTTTTCTTCTGCAGGGGTGCGATGCACGTGGTAGAAGGTGCTGCTTGCCACAGGTGGTGGGAGGAATTTTGTTCACTGATATTTAGAAAGAGTTGGTGAAATCACCGGGGTGGGGATCGCAAATGACAGAAGGTAGCAGGGGAATAGAGACTATAAACATTTCCAGTGGGCTTCTGTGAAAACCCAGACCTTCCCAGCTCTAGTGAAGCTGAATATCTGGAAATGAAGTCCCCCATCTCTTACGGAGCTTCCTAGTGCCTCTTGCTTGGCCAGAGGACGAGGGCAGCAGCGAACCTGTTTGCTGTGCCTAGGTGCTGCTCACCTCCCAGAGCCAGCTCCAAGAGGTGGAGGCGGAGAACTCCCGGCTGCAGCTCCGGCTGAAGGAGCTGAACGAGGAATATCGCTCCCGGCTCGCACAGTACATCAAGGACGTGGCGGTGGGTACCCCCTGCCCCAGGGGCTCTCCTCGCCAGGAGAGGTCTCTCCATGCTGGCTGCCTGCTTCTTGCAGGCTGCTGCTGTTTCCCCTCCTTGCTGGGCTGCTGAGCAGAGCAGGCAGTGGGGCTTGGGGAGCCATCCTGCAGCTGGAAGGGGGCTCTACCCCCTCGGCTTGGCCTGGGGGAGGAGATGCCAGCCCCGCTCCTCACCCAGATTTCCTGTATGGCCACACTAAAGGGTCTGTGAGTTTCTGCTGGGACTTTCTTTCTTGGTCAGATTACTTGGATTGAAAGATCCTCTTATTTACAATGGCTGCCTTCCAGTTGGCTCCTAATCTCCATTGCCCTGACAACTTCCCTCGGCAGGCCAAGCGATGCTACTTCTGGCTCTGTCACAGCCTCCGTGGTGACTCTCCTGCTGTCCCCGTGGTCGGCTACAGAGCCGTGTAACACCAGTGCCTGGGACCCGCTCTGGGAACAAGCACCTTTGACGTAGAATAGGGCCCCCTGAGCATGGTGAGGACTCGGCAGAAGGCAGGAGTTTCAGGCAGGTTCAGGTGTGGATACCTGATTATATTGAGCAGGGAGACTGGGAAGAAATCTCTTTCTAGTCCCTTGGTAGCAATAAGCAGATTTTGGCAAGAGCTTCTGTGCTGGGAGAGGGTTGGTACCGAAGAACACGGTGTGGTGATGGATCAGGAGATTAAGCAAAGCAATTTTTACTATTAAGAATAGTTTAATTTCTAACAGAGCGATGTTGAAGCATCTCCTAGCTAGCAGAGAGGGTGCGGCACGGTGGAAAGAATATGGACTAGAGATGGTAACACCTAATGCCAACTCGTGTTTCCCTAGGCGGGTCACTGATACAGTACAGGTGCCTTCTCTGTCTTGAAGGGCCATGATGGTAGCTAATGAGACTTTCCTGCTCTTAGAAAATGGAAGATATGCCCTAATCTCTGTGCTGTTAGCACAAATATTCCTGGACCTTCTCCTTGGGAAATGGGTTACATGCCTTAGGGAACGGCTTGATCACCTCGTTTTCTTTCTCTGTGTGTTTAAAGGACTATATGGACAGCAAATCCAGCAATGTGATGGGGCCTAGCAAAGCCCCAGCTGATCATGCTCCCATGAAACACTTTGTGGACAGCATGCTGAAGGATATCAGGGCTTCCTACAGGTCTCGGGAAGAGCAGCTAGCTGGAGCGGCACGTGGCTACAAGAAACGCATGAAGAACTTGGTCAAGAAGCATGAGAACCTGCTGATTGCTTATGGGTAGGGCGAAGCTAAGCCAGGGCCTGGGCTACTTCTGTCTCTTCAGCTTATTGCTAAGGACCGAGTGGAAGTGCCCCGTAGCACCCAGCTCCCTGGCTGAGAGGGAGGCAAACGGGGCTCCCAGGTGGAGCAGAGGATCTGGAGCGCGTGTTTATCTCCCTGCTCTTGACAAGCCAGGAGCAAGGAGTCTCCAGCTACACATCAGAGTGCTCTGGACACTCTGGAGCTGCTTTGCACATACATTTCTCCTGTGTAAAATTTAGGGTGAGAGATTGATTCCATGTTGGATGGTATAGAAATGCAGAAGTACCACAAATAACTCCTGCCTCCCAGCCCGTCTCTGCAGTGCTCTCAGCTCTGCTCCACAGCTCTCTCAGCAGCTTGGGCTGTGGGAAGCAGCAGAAATTCTTGTGGCATAAAAGCCACAAATAGCTCTAGGACAAGCTCCCCTCAGAAACACTCCCAGGAATATTGTGCATGCTGCTGGGCTCTCCCACTTTTCCTTTGTGGGTAGACTGGCTGTAGGTGGCCAGAAGCCAGCAGATCCCAAGCGAATGGTACCTCCATCAGCAGCAGAAATGCTCGGTGTTGTTACCTAAACAAAGCTATCAGGGTCTAACCCCTCTGGCATGTTACAGGCTCCAGCGAGAGCAGATCCGGTCCTTGGGCAGCAGCGCTATGGATTGTGGCCCTGCCGAGCTCCACTTTTCCATCACAGACCCAGAGCTGCTGACAAACGCAACCCGGGAGCTAAACCGGCTGCGGGAGGATAAAGCAAAACTGGAGATGCAGCTATATGAATTGCAGAAGGTGGTGGCTGGGCTTTCTGTGGGAGTGAAACTGGGGGTGGTGGGGAGAGTCTCACAAGTGATAGATTCAGCCCCTTAGGCATTCCCTGAGGGTTTGCTGTATCTCTGTGGCACAGGCAGGGGTAGCGCTTGCTCTCTTTCTCGTTTTGGGAAGAGACGGGATGTCCAAGCAGTTCCCTCATTGCTTCAACCCTGCTGCGTAGGGGTAAGTTACAGTTAGATCCAGGAGGCTGGGCAGCCCCATAGATTGGGGTCAGTGAGCTCTGGGAGGGCTGAGGAGTAGCAGATGTTATGGGAGAGCTGCCAGGCCAGCAGACTCACTCACTGCTAAAAGAAGAGGCGAGTAAGGGAGGATAGGATGGGGCTTTCTGTTCTTGAATGCCTTTGCCTCAGCATGAATAGCTAACTGAGCAGGAAACCACACTCAGAAACACGCCAGTCAGCTCCACGTCCTCCCACTGGTTCTGCCTGGGCAGAGACATGTCTCTTGATTTGAGTGAGATGATACATTTATTTAAAAATTCAGAGGATGGGAGACCTAAACCTTAAGATTGTGCTGCATATCACTTCCTTGCCAGGGCACTGGTGGCTGTTGGCATGCTGAGATATGTTGTGCCATTTCAAAGTGGCAGGGACTGTGGTGAGATTGCAATGGTGTAATGCTTACAGGAATACTGTTCTTCCTTTGCCTTCAGAAAAAACTGAAAGAAACCTCTGGCTTTCCGCTGTCTCCTGAGCAGTAAGTGCTGTTTGTTTCTCGGGATATTTGTAATTCTGAATTCTCCTTGCTGCGTGGATTGAGGAGTCTTTTCTGCTTTACTTGGAGAAGGTAATAAATAGGGAGAAAGCAAGCTGATAGGGACTCATCCGAGAAGAAAAGCCAGCTGTCGTCTCAGTGCAGCGTTTCCTGCGGTGAAATGAGTTGGTCGTTTGGGCCTTGATCCAAGAAGGCTCTTAAGCACATGTTTGATTTAATCATGTTTTCAGTCCCACTGATCTCTTTAGAAGCTGAAGTTAAGCATACGCCCGAGTGCTTTGGTGGATCACAACCTGAGAAAGGCAAGTGAAACACCACTTTGGGATGGTCTTGTTTCTCCTCCCTCCCAGTGCAGAAGCTGGGCTGGAACCCTTAGGTGACCCTGTACCGACACCTCCCTGGCTTCCTGACATGCCCTTTATTTGCTCTTTTTTGATGGGTCTCTTCCCCCTGCTTTTTGCTGAAGCTCTATCAACTATAGCTGTGGAGAGGTGGAACAAAGCATAGGAGAAATCTGAGCTGGGATTTTTCAGCCTTTTAAATGCGGTAGCCTAGAAAATATGTCAGGTATTTTGGTGACTGGATGCCAGCACGGAAGAGTCGGTCAGTGTCTGAGCCACCAGGCTCCAGAGGAGTGTCTCAGAGAAAAGCTTGAGCCTTAACCAGGCTCTGCCATGCTGAAAAACAGTAGTAGTCCTTGAAGAGATGCATTAATTTTGGCAGACTTGCCACAGGAACAAGACAGAGAAGTACCAGAACCTGCATTTTAGTGATGCGTCTTGTTGAGGTTTTTATAGCTGCCAAGAGACTCTACACACTTCAAACACTTTTTCTGCGTGCTGATGGGTCGTACCCACGCCATTACCTTGTTCCTTTAGCTAGAGACATGAAGCCTGGTGTAACCACAGCACTTCAGCTATAACTCCTGCTGCTTCTCGTCTTTATCAGCTGTGTGGCTTCGCTGTTTATTGTTCTCTTCGCTTCTGCTCCCATGAAATCTCAGCCATGATTTCCCGTGTGCCTGGGCTGCAGCCACCAGAGGGAACTCTGGCAGTCGCAGCGGAGCCGCTCTTGAGCACAATGCATTCCTCCCTTCATACAACCCAAATTCCCCGAGCATCAGATGTGACCTGTATTTTGCTTATTCAGACTGGGACAGAATAGGAAGAACTTTCCCACGGCTGGGCTGCACAGACAGCTCACCTATCGCGCTCAGCGACCAGAACGGGCGGGTTTGTGCTCAGAAACATGAAAAGCGCCAGCATTTGGCATTGATTGCTCTCTGTTTCCATCAAATTCAGTCCTGCAGTGTCAGGTTAAGGACTCTTTCTGCATGGAGTCCTCTGATGTATGAGCGTTGATGTGAACTTGGAAGAAATCCAGCCGTTGCAGCGGGGAATCCCAGGTTGGCAGAAGGGCTGTGACTCTCATGCCTGGGCACAGGGACGGCACTGAAGTCTGGGGCATCGGGAGAGAAAAGGTTCAGGGCGCTGGGGTTTATGGTCTGATGGACAGAAGTTGTGTCCGGCCCCCGAACAGAGCTGTGTGACCTGCAGATGGGCTGGATTTGAAGGTCTGTTCACGATCAAAATCTGCTTTTCTTTCCTAGGCAGCTGGATGAGGAGGGCTGGGCACAGGTCAGGAAGCAGCTCCGGGAGTTCGCACACACCACCCAGGTAAAGGTCTGGAACAGCCCATCTGAAAAAAGCTTATCCCTTACCCCCACGTCAAAGATGTGCTGCCCTAGCCGGGTGCTGCCCTGGGACCGATACGCTGCTCCAGGCTGGAGCGGGAAGCTTTCCACGGAGCCTCGCTGTGGGTTTGGCCTCAGCCCACCACGTGACACTAGCAGGTCCCCAGCCAGTGATGTATCAAGGCTGTACTGTCCCTGCTACTAAAAGAAGGAGAGCAGCCCTTACGGCTGCGCATTGCTGGACTGTATTGCTCCCTCCCGTGTTTCAGCACAAGCATTTAGGCATCTGTGTAACAAACTGGGTCTGTGTTCGACCTGGTTCAACTCTAGTCTGAATCTGAATCGGCTTCCCAGTCTGGTTCCCCCTGAGTGCAAGGATATTTGTGCTGCACTCGGGAATGGGGTGGCCCAGAGCGGGGAGGAGAGGTCTCCCCATCCACAACGCTGCCCTACAGCACCCATGAAACCGTGGTGATGCTCGCTGGGAGCAGGTTTGGCTGCGGTAGGGTTTGCTGTCCGGCAGCAATGGCAGCGGTGGGAAGAAGGGTTGGTACTGGGATCCCTGCCATGCTGACTGCCACACACGGGGAAAAGGGCTTTGGAAACCAGGAAGAAGTTCGGTTTTCTGTGATAGACAAGGCTATAGATGTGCTACCAGCCTGCTTCCATGTCATGCCTTCCTCTATCCATAACGACCTAAGGAAGCGCTCCACCATTCTCTGGTCACGTAAAGCTAAACACCAAAATTGTGTGTATCTTTGTGGCCAAAAGACGGGAGATGCCGTGGCTGAGAGGCTGGAGCGCTGCGCTGGGAGCAGGTCCTGCTTCTGGCTCTGCAGTGCATCTTGGGGGTGAGCTCAGTCAAGCACCTCAGATCCTCCTGGTGACACAGGGACTGTGCAGTTAACTTGGGTAACCTGGCGATCTACCGCCCAGAGACACTGTGCAAAGAACAAATGTTTTTTTTATTTAAAAGGCAAGGTGACTTCCCTTTGCAACGAACTACCGGTGGAAAGGTGTGAAAGCTGTGTCCGAGTGCCAGTTCTAGTGACGGGTCTGCTAGAAGTTGTCTGTGAAGCTTCTGGGGGAGTAAATCATGGCTTGACAGGCAGGGGTTACTGCCTGTCCTGGGGTGGCCCTGGCTCCCATGCCTGCGCTCTGGTCAGGGCAGGCTGCCTGGTCTGCCCGGCCAATGCCCTGGAGCAGTGGTGCCTGCAGAAAGCTGCGCTGTCGTCACCAGGCTCCTTTCCCCGAGCACATCAGTTTTCGGTTGCTTCTGTAGCCTAACGCCAAGCGGTGCCGGAGCTGAGTGATGGGGAAGTGGTCAGCCTCGCCTGGCAGAGAGGGACCGAGCATCTTCACTCCCATCTCACAGAGCTCCCTGTTTTCTGCATCTTTCTCTGCCCCTCCAGGAGGATTTGGAGCAGGAGAGGAGCCAGCTGCTGACTCGGGCGATCGTGGCAGAAGAGCAGGTGTCGGAGCTGCAGGAATACATAGATAAGCATCTTGCAAGGTGAGATGGTAGGATCCCCCTTCACGTGTTCTCTGCTTTGTGCTCCAAGTTTATCTCCCAGGCTAATTGCTGGCGACATCGCCACGCCTGCCCCGCTGTCGGCGCCTGACCTTGCCGCTGCCTTCCCACAGCGCTGCCGGCATGGCTCATGTCCCGCAGCCCGTCCAGCTGTGCGGGCAGCTGCCACCATCCCTTGTTCCGCAGGGCAGGGGGGCAGCGTCTGGCCTGCCCTGCCGCACATCTCCTTCCCCGCGCACTCATCCATCCTTTGGAGGGAGCGAAGAGAGGGGTTGCCTAAAATCCAAAGCCTTCCAGCAGCCCCTGATCTATGGTCCTCTCTCGCTGGCTCATCACGCCCCGAAGCAGGGGGAACAGCTGCTTGGGCAAGGAGGGGTGAGAACAAGCAGGGCACGTCTGTCGGAGCAATGGTCCAACTGCGCCTGCCGTAACTCCCCAGCCAGCGGGGCTGTGAACTCGGGTCAGACTCGTGGGCTTGTTACTGGTACCGTTACCTGGCAGAGCCGACAAACACCTCTTCCTCGGGAAAAGGCTGCGATTTTATATCTGCCGGGGCTCAGCTCGCGGTGTGGCTCAGTGCCTGGGCTGGCTGGTCTGAATTCACTGACACTGCGTGTCCTTAGCATGCAGCGAACACAAGGCAAAGCGCACATTTAAATTTATCGCTCGTGTGTGAGCTATCAGCGGGGTTGTGACCACACGGGCAACAATGGTGCTGCTTCCCCATTGCAGGTACAAGCAGGAGATCCTCCGCTTGAGGAAGCTCGCTGGCAGTGAGGTGCCACGTGCGCTCAGTGCTGGGGCGGCCGATACTCACTCACTGCCCAGAGCCAGAAGGACCGTCAGCCACCAACCGTAGCTCTTCCCCACGGCTCCGAGAAGCGGCACGATCATAGGAAAGAGCAGGATTTAAAAGGAAAGAGCTTTCTGTTGTGTGGGCTGGCCAGGGCACATATCCTTCCCCGGCTGAGAGCTGGGAGGCACAGCGAGGGAAACCACGTGGGTGTTCTCGGTCTCAAATTAACAGTACTAAAATGGGACGAGACAACTGCGTCTCGTCTATCCTCTGGCCCCTCAGCTGTAGGAATTCTGCTGTTCCCTGAGCACATCACGCCTCGGGACACGGGGTCAGGTTCCCAGGCAGCTTTTTACTGTGGGGCTGCAGGAACAGGTTCCCGTTCCTGCCTCCTAGGATGCTGCCAGAATGTTTCTCCTGGGTCAGACCTAGACTGGAGTCCAAGGGATAACTCTGCTCCTGCTTTCGCTCCCTTCTCAGCTTCTAAGAGATAAGGCCAGGGCTGGTTCAAGCTAGACTTTGGTCTAAGAGGTTAGACAGCTGCTCTTTTGTGGTGGGAAAACCTTTTTTTCCTCTGTGTTTGAGTGGAAAAGGGAATGTTATATAAGGTGAGCAGGGCCAAACTGATCCTTCAGCGGGAGGTGAGCTGGACAAACTCCCTCCTGAGCCGCCTTCAAAGGGACGACAGAGCAAAGCCTGAGGCTGGGAGCAGCGACTGCTCTGGCTCCAAGAGCACCCTGCGGCCCAAAGGCAAAGCAAAAGACTCAAGGGAAGAACCGTTCAAATGTTTATTTTGAAAAATTAACTAGAAATAAAGTAGTAAACATACAGAAAGAGGCACTGGTGATTTAGCCCTTAAATCCTGCGATAATTCCAGGATTTCTAGATCTGTTTTCCGTCTCCCTTGCTCCCCCAAAACTGCCGACTCTTTGGAAGACAAGGAGGGACCACCACCCTGCAAGTCCCCGGGGAAAAGCCTGGCCAAGCATCCCTCTCACTGCGGTCCTGAACTGAGCCCAAGGGCTGGAGGGGCTCTGATCCTTATCGCTGCTGACCCTTAATGCCAGGCTTAACGAGGCTGACGTTAGACTGGGCTTCCCTCTGTGCTGCTCTGCGCCGTTCGCCGCACCTCCTTCATATCATAGGCCCAGACTTGCTCCAGCCCCTGCCCAAGGGTGCTGGTGGGGGTCCAGGAGGGGAAGGGGAAGCGTCCAGCCACCACCCGGGCTTCGTCGGGGAGTTCTGCGAGGAGCTTGGCGGCTAGGGGAGGTTTCTGGGGAGAGAGAGACAGCCAGGGCCTTAGGAAACAGTGGCAGTGCCACCAGGGACCACAGGGCAGCTTCTCAGCAAGGCTGGTGGCTCCCAAGCAGGCAGCATCGACCAAAGACCCTTCCAAAATGCAGGGCTGGTACTAGCCCTGTGTACGGTTGGGACTGGGACCAAATTTGAGTGGTGCTGAGCACCGAACCGCTCACTTGCGGTGATGCCCACCGCTGCTGCAGGTCTCAGCACTCCACAAGACTCCTTGTTCTGCCTTACTGAGACTGACGGTGGAGCGTGGTCTCTAACAGGCACTTGTGGTGACCGGGAAGAGGGCCGGGTAACCAGCACCGTGGGGGACATGGGGACAGTGCTCCCAGAGCAGCACTCCCTCGGGAAGACATGTGGAAGAGGGTCCCAGACAAGGTCACATCCATCAGCTGCAACGGGCACAGGCTGCATTGCTGGAAAACATGCTCCCGTTTGGCTTTTTATTCCAGCACGAGCAACTCTGGGATTTTCTTTACCGCTGGTCTCTTATTAAGTTTGCCACTGTCCCAGATTATCTCTCTTTTCTAAGAAAACCCTCCCCTGAGCTCGCTCAGAACAAGTCGGGGTGCCAGAGACCGACTTACCACGCTGGGGGCCAGGAACACGATCACATTGTAGCAATCAGAAAGATTCACCTTAAAAGAGAAGGAAAAGGGGAGTGAAAGAAGCAACAGGCAGAGGGGGAGCTGTGGGGGAACCGTCTGAGTGGCCAAATGCTTTGGGGGCCATCTTCTGAACCTCGGAGGAAGCAAAGATGCCCCACTACATGTGGGACGGGGATGTGTCGATGTGACCGGGAGCTGAGTGCGAAAGCAGAGCCTCTTGCAAAACACCTGCCTCCAGCATTGTCCCAGAACCACGTTCCCTGCTGGATTTTCTCCAGTCAGGCTGCGGGTACCTGATGCCGGCTTTAGCAGCGTCTCTCTGAAGGCCACCCTGTGTCAGCAGCACCTAAGACCTCTTCTCAAAGCTGCCCTGAGAAGGAGCTCTGCTACCTGCACAACCAGCAGCCCAGGCTGGCTGGTTTCCCCGGAAAGGAGGATGGTTTTTCCACCTCCCGGGAGCAGCATGGGTCGGGAAGGAGCAAGCAACCATCAGCGAAGCCTGTCTGGAGATGCAGACCAAGCCCTGGCCCTGCCCTAGCTACGGCCAGCGCTGAGCACAGCCAGACCCTCAGACGCTGTTACCTTCCAGAGATCTTTCTTCAGGAAGGAAACCTTCCCGCTGTACCCAGCCTTCCAGGCCCGGTAGTTGGAGAGACACAGCAGCCAGGGGTTGAGCTCATAGCCAACGGCTGGTCTCAGACCTTGCTTATAAGCCTCTACTACCTGGGGAGAGAGAGAGAGTTGCAACTAAAATGAACCTTGGTGTTCAGTTTGGGGGACAATTTGGGGGACAGGGGTTGTTGCCCAGCTCCACTCGCTCCCTCCTGCTGGCTCATGGGCAGGGTGATCTTGATCCTCGGCACCTTCCAGGTGCAAAGGCTCTTTCCTCCTAGAGTGGTCGTTCCCACCCTGCTCACTGCCTGTGATGTCTTCTAGAGCCGTCTAGGACCATCCAGGGCTATCTAGGGCCATCTAGGACTGTCTAGGGCAGTCTAGGAACATCTAGGGCTAGCTAGGGCCAACTAGGACGGTCTAGGGCCATCTAGGATCGTCCAGGGCCATCTAGGACCGTCCAAGACCACCCAGGGCCATCTAGGACCGTCCAGGGCCTTCTAGGACGTCCAAGACCACCTAGGGCCATCTAGGACCGTCCAGGGCCATCTAGCACCGTCCAAGACCATCTAGGGCCATCCAGGACTGTCCAGAGCCGTTCAGGGCCATCTAGGACC